TGTGCTAATTTTAGTTTCTTAGAAAAAACATAAATACTATTCATCCAGATAATAAAACAAGTTTTGTTTGTGAAATTTTAAATATTATGCTTAAAGTAATAGCTTTCTTAGGAAATCCCTGAACTCTATTTGTAAATATCAAAATATCTGTTACCAAGGTTATTACATTTTTACAGATAATTGAGAAAATAAAGTTTGTTTTTTCCTAATAATTTACAATATTATAAATTCAGAACTTGTCATCACGACTAGTTTAAAAATATAATTTATATTTTTTAAACATGTTTGCAGTTTCCAGAAACCTTGAGATAACATATTAAATAATAATTTATTAATGAATATTAAATAATTATTTTATACAGTCTGTAGGTAAATGGGAAAATAATTGCTTGATCAAAAGTATTCATTGATAGAGATTTATACTATTCTTAATATAAAACAAAAAAGTATATAAATTGTGGAAATATCTATAAAAGCAAATAAATTACATATAATATTTTTTAAAAATATTAGCACAAGTTATTGATTACAATGTACACCCAGGTCATTTTGGTAGCCGCATTAATTCAGGCAGTGTTCTGTGACAATGTTGATGGACTGACCATGGTCAATGGCACCAACATGACCCATACACAAAACGCTCAAATTACGGACATGGTATAAATGACATAATTAATATGAAAACAATTATTATTATTATTAACTTTATGAGCAGTGACAAATATTTGGTACCGAAATGATCCAGACACAAAACATAACAGACGCGGTATAAATTAAATATTAATTTCACTATTAAAAATTAATATCGTTAACTGTATATGACCAGGGACAACATATATTACGATCTGTACAGCTCGCACGCGAACCAAAGCCAAAGCTTTTGTTGTTTAAAAATGTGAACCAAACGGTTATCAACGCCAATATGACCAAGATGGTCGAATTATTTATGCAAATGACCGAGGACTTTGAAAATGACACGTGCCTGTTCATACAGGAAAAGGACTTTGACCGCGATTTGGGTGACAACTGTTACGCCAATATCGCGGTCAAAATCAGGGACAATATGGTCGCCGACTATCTGGTTGTGGTGCTGGAGAAGGCCTACGGTATTACCGCCGGATCGATGGCCCTGTCCTTCCATATGTTTGACTTCTATTTAGGTCCCCTGTATTTCGGAGTTTTCAAAAATGTGTAAACTTTTGTGCTTGGTATTATGAGTTTTAAATAAAATTAACATTTGAATTACTATAATTTGTAATTTTCATATTTGTAACTATTTATATATATTTATAATTTGCTTTAGTAATCATTTATTTGTAAATTAATTATTTATATATATATATATAAATTTATATACTAGGGTTGTGAAATTTAAATTAACAAGTAGGTGCTAGTTTAAACCTTTTAAAAAATTAATATTATTTATTCATGGAAATAATAAACAAGTTTTATTTGTAAAATTTTAAATATTGTATTTTAGTCATAGTGTTACTTTGAAATCCCTGAACCTTATTGTAAATATCAAAATATTTATTATCAAGGTTATTACATTTTCTCAGATAAATGAGATAATTTGACTTTTTCATAGTAATTTAAAAGACATATTTTAAAACTTGTCATCACAACTAATTTAAAAATAAAATTTTTATTTTTAAACAGAATTGTTTTTAAATATAGGGTTACTATGATTTTTGAGATAAAAATTTATTGATTACTTATAATGAGCATAAAAATAAATTATTAATTAGCTGAAAAATTTACCTAATCAATTTTATTATAAAGTTATTGGGAAAATAATAGATTTTTACAATAATAATATAGTTCGCAGCAAATAAACTTATGCTAGTATTATTTAATAATATAATAGGTATAATATTTAATATAGATCATAATATTTTAGTACAATGAAAAATAATAATTACTTTATTATTAAAAGCATTTTTTATTTATAATATTTAAGGCACAGTCTTAATTGCCAATTGCCTGTTGCCCACCGGTGCCAGGCGTTGAATTTTAATTAGCATGTCGATTAGGGTTGTTGGTAAATTTTGCTTATTTATTACTTACTATTATCATAACCATCATTATATGGTATTATTACTATACTTTGTATATTATAATATTATATGACCGGGTCGAAATTGAAGTAGCCACAAAAGTTATATTAGTATGAGTAATATTTATTTTTTCAATTTAGTAATGGTAAACACTTAAATTTAATATTATATTAGTTTATTAGTTATGAAATAAAAGTTAACACACAATACATATAAAACGTATAGACTGGACGTTTTTACTGTATAACAATTAATTACATTATTGGGATTTTAATTGAATTTTTATTTTATAAATAATATCATAAACTATCAAAATCTACACGGCACCATTATTATTAAACGCAGGACTGTATGTATCAATTATAAATCCCAATGAGCTTGGTATAATAATTGAATCTCCATATACCTGACACGTGGTATTACATATACCAGTTAACGTAAAATATCTGTAAACACATAATTGTGTGATAATCCCATCAATACTATTGCACCCATCGTTAGGTATTCCCTTGTACATGGTCATTTCAAAATAATTTGAGCCATTACATATGCCACCACTAACAACACCAGTATTATGGGTAAATCCGTCACCTTTGAAAAATTCATAAACATTATATCGGTTATATAAATTTGCATCATACTTTAAGCTACCATTAATGAATGTGGATACACGGTCTAAGTTGGTAATGTTAACAGGTATAATTCTAGGTGGTATAGTCTGGATAGCTAACCATAACTCATATAGTGAATTAACCTGGAACACGCCATTGCAGCTGATTATCGGTCCCGTTTGGACGGACCCGGCTATAAATATTGAACTTATATTTATGGCACTACCAGCCTGTGTGGTACATATTCCCATAGATTGGAAATTTTCTATAGCGTTTACCACCGGGGTAAACGCTGATCAATAAATAGTGGGAAATAATAATATAATTATTATTTAATTAATTACACTTAATATAATTATTCAATATTTATTTATATAAACTTAATGTAAGAGTAATTATCAAAAATCTTACAAGTATAGCTAAATGATACCCCATTGATTATGCCAGAACCTAATAAATATCAGAATTAATATTTAATTAATATGATTTAGATTACTAAAAATTTTGATAATTGTACCTGTCTGATAGTACCCATTTACGATTTGAAAATGTTTCCATAATAATAATATTGGTACTAACTTAATAAAACGTAATAACATTATTATGTAAAATCATGAATAAGTTACTACTATTAATTAAATATAAAGTTTAAAAAATTATGTTAGCATACAAATAATTTATGCAAAATATTAAATAGAGGTTTTAGTTCATATTGAATATTATAATAAAAATACTGTATGTAGGCATTATTTTCTATTGTGAATTATTGTATTATATTTGTAAAAATGTAACAATTAATATAAAAAATTATAAATAAATATTCCATATGTTATAATTAAAAAGTTTATATATTAAATATAAAGTTAGCATACAAATAATTCATGCAAAATATTAAATAGAAGTTTTAGTTCATATTTAATATAATTTTCTATTGAGAATTATTGTGTTATGAGTGCATTGTAACATTTACTCCGGTAATTTAAAGCCATTGTATTTTCATGAATAACTAGCAAATTAAAACATGTTTATAAAACCTATTCTAATATCAAAGTGATAAAAAAGCTTTAAACATGTTTTAATTTGCTAGTTATTAATTAAAATACAATAACTTTAAGTTACCGGAGTTAATGATACATAGAAAAAACAAAGCACTGAAATGTTATAGATTGCTATACATTTGTACGCTTAGATTGGGCATATGTATGGTTATGATAATGGTCAATAATTGGAAATAAATAATTAAAAGTGACCAACAATCCTAATCTGCATGCAACGTCTGGCACCGGTAGGCACTGACTGGAATCGGTTGGCAATTGGCAATTAAGTCTATGCCATATTTAGTTTGATAACATTGATAAATTTTAATAATTTATGATTAAAGTACATTTGTGTACGGTACAATGGGTTAATAGATAAATAAATATACAAGATAACTTTTGATACTTATTTTTGTTAATAAAGTAATTCTTTTATTAATAAAATATAATAAAGTACCAGTCATAATAATATTATAATAAATAAATAGTATAAATAAAAGTATCGCTGATCAATCAAATTATATCAGTTAAATTTTTTATACAGTATTTTTTTTAAATAAATACCATTGAAATTAAAACTAATTTGCCATAATCATTTTAATCACTACATTATACTGTACTTTACTGTTATTTACAATAATTACTGTAATATATTGTATTTTAAAACTTTATTAGTTTTTAGAGTAAATATATATAAATATTTATAAAAAATGGATAACAATTAGAGATTCTGTTTTTAGTTATTTTCCAAAAGCATCTGGCACGATTCACATCCTTACAATTACGATTGATAATTTATGAATCGCTTACCGGTAATTTTGTTTTTTAAAAGTATTTAAGAAATAGTTTTTAAAAGATTATTTACTACATTATTGTCAAATTATTTTCCTAGTTATTAGTAGTTAATTATTGCAGACTAGTAACTAATAATGATTTGTAAATTTATAATATTTGTTTTCATTTGTGTATTCATTGGTGTCAAGTGTTGCAGTGCTGTCGACAACGGTATGAATATAGCAATCATTATGTTAAACATTAAATCTCTAATACTATTGTATTATTATAATAATATACAGTATTACAAAAAAACAATTAATTTAATTGATGAATAAAAATGATAACAATTCAAAGAAAATTTTACTTTTAAATGCAGAGTTTATTTATTCAAACTAATAAAACTTGCTTGAACAAACTCTGCATTTAAAAGTAAAAACTCCTACAAATTGTTACCATTTTTTAATTCATCGATTGATTTAATTGATCTTGCAGATTTACAAATAATTTTATGTAAACCCATGCATTCAACCCTAACAGACGTGTTACCAGCCGTTCCCCTGGTGGTCAAAAGTCCATACCTGTCCACATGGCTGAAAAATCGTCAACTGATGGGCGTTTGGCCCCAATTCTGGAATGGAAACATCAAAGGTATGGCCGGTTTGGTGAGAGTGAAGGGCCAGACCTACGAGTTTATGGGCGACCCGACGGGCGAGGATATCGGCACCAAATTGCAGGCCAAACAGGTGTCTCTTAAGGTGACGCCAACGCAGTCTATATTCACGCTGAACGCCGGCCCCATCGCACTGGCCGTCAATTTCTTCACACCCATCGACCCGACAGATCTCAAGCGACTGTCACTCCCGGCCTCTTATATATCGGTGAGCGCCTGGTCTCTGGACGCCACCACTCATGAGGTTCAGGTATACCTCGATATGTCCGCCGAGTGGACGTCCGGCGACGCCAATGAAGAGGTGGTTTGGGATGTGATGGAAATCAAAGGCAATAACTCCGTAATCACTGGCGATATGCGACTCAAGAATCAACAGATATTCACCGAAAAAAATGGTAAGTCTCGGGAGATATCTATTAAAATGATATATATCTGAGAAACAATGCGAAACGAGTCTTGCAAAAAATCTTTAATATTACTTACATGTAATGATAAGATTAAAGATTTTTTGCGAGACTCATTTCGTTTTGCTTGCTCAGATATGTAAACTGATTTGTTTTTTTTAAAAACACTCAGAATCGGCTCAATACGGAACCGTTAAGTTCTTCACCGACTCCACGGCCACTCACGAGGTATGAGTTACTTATCAAAGTTAAAAGTCGATGCCCACCACACTTACAAATATGCCGCACCGGTAGGTTAATTCATGTTTCACGATGAGGTCGACATTCGTAAAGAATGGCAAACTCGACAATACGGTTGACCAGAAATTTCGTAAAATCAATGACAACTGGCCGGGCGTGGGATACGCCCGGACTATGACCGTCAGCCCACTGACAAACGCGTCGCCGCCCGCTGTTGAGTACTATGGCGTCGCACACGTCAGGCGCCCCGCCATTGAATACACGGACTCCCAGTTGAATCAGCTCTGGGAAGACTATTTCAATGGCGATGACAATAAAATGGTGGCCTTTGTGTATGAGGACAGGGAGGACGCCCTTAAACGTGCCAATGCTCTCGACGCTAAGATAGAGGCAGATGCTAGAAAGGTGGGAGGGGACAGTTATGTGAAAGTAGTTTCTGCGGCACTTAGACAGGTATGTATGGCGTAGAAGTACAACTGTCCATTCAATTGCAATAGGAATGACACATAGCTTAGGATCGTATATCTGAGAAAGCAATACGAAATAAGTTTTCAACAAATTCGTTAATTTTATCTTTCAATATTGCTTCGGAACTTAACAATGTAAGCAATATTAAAAGATATCTCTTAACTTTATACGATAGGCGCTCATTGGGATAGTCGATATTAATATCGATACCTGTTCATTTCAATAATATACTACGTGCTAAAGGTTATAATATGGACTATCGATAATGTTCCCAATGAGCGCCTATCGTATAAAGTTAAGAGATATGTATGTTATTAATTATCAACTTTGTATGTTAATCCATTTGACGGGAAAGGTGGTTAAGCATAAATATCCTGTTCATGTTTCAGTTATCAATAGAAAAAATTCATATAAAAAATAGAAACAATACTCCATTTCTGAATAAATATGAATTGTATTATAATTAAAACATTTGTATTAATTGTAGTGTTCATAATATCGTTGAACACCCGTATGTTTCCATATTATATGCATCGAGTGACACGACCTCCCCGTGACTATGGCTTCAGTCAGGACACCGCCTGACCCACCATTATATTCACTAAATGGTTGGACACCGTTTCACCACTTTATTCATATTATTTTAAATATAAAACTATTTTATAATTTAATATTTAATATAATTGTATATCCTTTGTATTCATTCATAACAGCAATTATTTGACTCATCAATTCTTTTTACAAATAAAAGTCAATTTATTGTTATGAATAACTTTTTGCAAATTAAATGACTATTTAAGTAATAATGTGACCACTTTATATTAACAATAATGGTTATTGCCAAAGTGGTTTTAACTAAATATATTTACTATTAATTTGAACACTTTTATAATCTATAATGAATGTAAAATGGACATCAAATATATAAAAATAAATGCAAAAAGTATTTAGCAGAGCGTGGTTTCGATCCACGGACCTCTGGGTTATGGGCCCAGCACGCTTCCACTGCGCCACTCTGCTATGTTGTATTGTGCTTGCTTAAATCATTATGCTATCATTACATGTAGCCCTTCATTTTTTATTTACTGCCTCAAAATTATTCTGTATGATACATGAAGTATAGTAATGTATACCCCGTTTATAATTGTAGGGTTGGCCATGGTGGGTCATCCCGTATTTTTCGAGTATGAGACGGTACAGTTAAATATACTAAATTTATTGTAATGTTATTATAAATATTACTAAATTGTTGATCTAAATTTAATAATGATCACCATTATTCCAACAGAAAATAGCCAGATAATTATTTTAATTAAAATTATATAAAATTAAATAGTAAAAGTATTTGTTACAATTTATATTTTTTAAATGTAAATATTTTATTAAATGAATGTTTAATGAAATAAAATTTTTAATATACGGTAGTTGTTATTTTAAATAATCAAATTTATTTTTTATTTCATAATTACACGAGTAGAATGATATTTTAGTTTTAAAAACATATTTAGTCTTAAAAATATATTTATATTGTAATATTCACGAGAGAGACAAGTGTTTTCATATGTATTGTGTTTTCACAGAAATAAGTTTGAAATCTTAAAACATTTAGTTTTATTTGTCTACAAAAATATTTTTATTATTAATATTGTATACTAATAAAATAATCATATTAAAAACATTATTATTAATGAAATCGATTTTCAAAACTCGACTCAAGTCTCTCACTCTCACGCTTTATATTCAAAATAATTTCTAGTCTTTTAATTACAAAATAATAGTTATTTATCTGTCCTTTCATTTCGTGTGATACTATAATAAATACATTATTCACACATTTCTTGTGTCCCTCTAATTGCTATTAAAAACATACATTTGTCGCACACTTTATAATAAATTTCATACAAAAAGAGCACTCATTTTTCACTCACCAAACGTTTTCTCAATTGAATTCATATCAATCGACTTATTAATGAAAAAATAACACTTGTAGCTTATTATTAAAATTTTAAAATAAAAAATATATTCAAAAATACAATTTATATTTAGTTTGTTTTGTGTGCTACTTGAAAATGTAACTGATGAAATTGGTTTCTTGTTTCGCTATAAAATTAATTGTGTATTTGTACCTCAAAATATATTTTCACTTATTATGGAAATAAATATAATTTGATTGTAACTAAAATGATCCAGATCGATTGGCTAGGTTATATGCGCACATGGTTAAAGTTTGTTTGTTATTAAAATTGATTCAATGTAATTTTAACCCTTTCAAAAATATATTCGGTTGATATAAATAATATCTAATATGGCATACATTTAAACCCAACGCTAACCTACACCAGGGTCTGTGGATATCCCTCGAGAGTATAAGTTTTGAACACATAATTAGCTGTGAATTGTTTCATTAGTGCAATGAATTGCGTTAGAAATACAACACAAATTTAAACAATTATATGAATAGTTAACGAAAAAAAATTGTGTCGGGTTTGGGTTTGTGGTGTAAATGAGTGTATTTAATATAAATGGAAAAACACCCGTAAATCGATTACCCATTGATGCTGTGTTTTACATGAGTGAATGAGATATTAAATTCATATAAATGAACTAAATATACAGTACACATAAATATAATATGATTTACATTCATAATAAGTATCTATACATACAATAGTTATTGTTAAATGAGTTATGGTATTGTCAAAAAATATTTTAAATTGTATTTTTTAAATAAATAAATAATAAATAAATTATTAATTAAATATATAGCTTCTCGTTTGGTTCACAAAAAAACAATAAAACAAATGATATAATAATAATAATATTAATAAATACGAATTAATTATATATTTGTTTGTTTGTCATTGTATTTGAATATATTTTGTTGTTGTTTTAAGCAATGAATTATCGATAGATTATAAGTAAATGTGTGTATAGTGTATGCGTGAATATAATGATTGATATACAATATTACAGAATAGATATTATATTTATCGATGAGTGGCTTTAATATATTTTTTTCATAAAAAATAAAATTAGTTTTTGTTTTTGTTTTGTTTCGCACAAATAAAAACTTGTCGACCCTTTCATCAAAATAATGATATATTTTCCGGTTTTATCTGTTTCTCGAGAAAAAACTACTATTCAGTTCAATGTCTTTATATTAGAGCGTTTATTAAGATCCGGGTCCATCGAAAAATATTGAATATAATTTCTATAATAAATAGTTGATTGATTATATAAGAGGTTTAGTCGAGTTGTATAATTCAGTGGAGAATCTAGAATTTCTGGATACAGTAAAGAATTCATTGAATACATAGTATTATATTTTTTACAATGTGCACTTTCAAAGTGTTACAGATTCTAACTGTAAATACCTTGGCACTTCAATTTATAATAAGAGAACTACACTAAGTAAATGTGAATTATACTTTTTACTTATTAATCAAATATTAACACTAAATTTTTAGTATAATTTTACAATGGACCGAATTTAATGAATGTTCTAATATTATATAATAAAAAACACTATCATTTCACAAGAATAATGAACAACAAATTCAATCACAAAATTTGATTAAACTTTTGTGTGGGTCCATTAAAAGTACTTGAAAAGCAAAATCTCACATTTTTTGTTTGTTATACACTATAAACTGAGAAAGTAATGAAAAACTTATAATGAATTAAAGGGACAGTTGTTGTAATGGTTACCGATTGTAATGAATACAGTCGTATTAAAAAATATGTGTCGGCGTTAACTGCACAGGGATTCCAGTGATGATACGATGATATGGCGTGGATGTGGATGCATGAGGTATGGGATGGGGTGTCGATGGGATGAGTGAGTGGTACTACTCGTTGGCATACTTGGAGTTCTTGGTATTTGTGTCGCCAGACTTGGCCGACGACTTCCACGACGATGACATCCTCTGGTCTTTGGTGTCCATCCGTAACAGTCGCTCGAACTGTGATGAGGGGAACTCCAGTCGCGGCAGCACTTGCCTACTGTCCGACGGCATGTCCGACGATTTGGTACCGTTTTTGAGGTCTTTCCGCGAACTCCGGGGCGAACTGATCGACAGTTTACTGAATTGTAGACAATTTATATCGTCTGCGGAAAAGTCATAAAAGTATTATATTTTCAATTATATTATTTTGAAAAACACTTAATTATAATGTAATGTAATTAATTAATTTATAACTCAAAGGGCTTTTTTGTGCTTTAATTGAATAAATTGTTGTTTATTTTGAAACACGTTTTGCCGGCCCTTCCCTCCCTCCCCTTCCCATTGAGTTTACAGGTATTTGCCTGCGAGTGAAGTCATAATTTTTATGTACACTCTATAAAGTGTACACATTTATTATTGTGGACCACATACAGTATAATAGGATAGATTTGTACCAACATTATATAAATCAGTTCACTAAATACCTACTCATAAATCATTATATTGTATAATATTTACTACACTTTATGTAACGGTTTACGATCTACATTTTATTAATAATTATCGTAGACGAGTTTGGGCAATACTTGCCTAAAAAGTATCATTTGAATCATTTTTAGGAAATATTCCTTCAATACACTAATAACTTACATGTAGTCTTCATTTTTGGCGATAATTATGAATTTATTATTTATATTGTATTTAAAAACACAAATTCAGCACAAAATGTGGATTATATGGTTTGGAAATTATTTGACGAAAAACTAATTTTTCATATAATGTTTGCCAAAAATCATTTGAAAACTATTTCAGAAACAAAACACACAAATAAAACAATTTCTTATTTAGGAAGCGTTTTGCGGGGAAACAGAAAAACAATTAAAATAAACAAATAATAGAGTTGTTGTAATAAATAATAACTTTTTTGGAAATATATGTTTGCGAATATAAAAAACAAAGTTATTTCGAGTTTAACATTGAAATAAAATACTAAATACTTGTCGACAGTATTTGCAATGGATTTGATGCGAAAAAGTGTGATTTGCGTTGAAAACTATTTGGCAGTCAGTGGTTGTTGTGAAGTCACAGACAACTGGCTATAAACTTCTGGCGTAAGTATGAGACTCCGGCAGTACATAAGCCCTTAATAAACTGAATACACTTTTATAACCTGAACGGTCACTTTCAAGGCCCGGTGCAAACACATACACAACACATACACACCATTAACACAACAGCACTACTCAAAGATTAGGCCACTATTGCAGACATCAGTCGCGAATACACTACTATACACACCACTCCTCTCTCTCTCTCTCTCTCTCTCGCTCGCTCGCTCTCTCCCCTCCCCCCTCTCTCGAGTGGTTTGAAGGAGAGAGAGAGAGAGAGAGAGAGAGAGAGATTTGAAAACTTCTTAAATCAATCACAGAATACACATAAGCCTAGTGTTTGTATTTGTTATAATGGATTTTACTTTTTGAAAGCGATTCCTCTCTACCCTCCCGTACCACTCGCTATCTCTGCACACATGCAGGCCCTGCACTACCGGAGTGGTAGATGAGAGAAAGTATTTTGACAAATATTATGGCTCTTAGAATTTTCACCGGTAATTACTGTCCTATCAAACAAATGAGCTTTTTT